ATATTGTGTTATAGAAACATCAATATTCTCAAACTAAATATTCAATGATTTTATGATATAAAAATTATTTGTAAACTTTGTTTACGAGATGTGAATCTAGCTATCAGAGGGATGCACTCAACAAGAATAGTTTTTTATTTAATATTTCCCTTTGTTGTATACTCCTCTGGTGACTATTTTTCCCTGAGATGTGGAATGTGGATAGTGAAAAGTCAAGCAAGTGCTTTTTAGCATCAAACTTATCTCACTATAGAAATTGCTAATGTTGAAATAAGATTAAACATTGAGAAAAAATTGAAGCGATTGAACGAAGATCATGACAATGGTGATGTTTATACTTCCCACTGCATCATCAATCATGGTTAATGTAAAATTCAAAACAAGAAATCTATTCATTTCTAGAGTACATAATTCAAAACAATAAATTGCGGCAGTTTTACGGGTTAAAATTGAAGATCACATTTGTGAACTTTAAATTTAATTAAATATGAATTTTAAATGGTAGGTGTTTTAAGTCCATTATGGATTTGGTATTTGCCTGCTCCTGGCTTTCAATGTCCAATATCAGATTTATATTAGTTGCGATCGCTCCATTGAAAATTTTGAAGAAAATTAATTTATGCAAAGTGATTTTTCCATAATGCAGACACACTAAATTACAAAAAATTGAACGTGCTGAATTTGTTATATGTTATGTAGTACAACACTATAATTTATTGTGTTATTCTCTTGATATGAGTCCACTTCTTCGAATTATTGATAAACCAAATATAATTTACGTAACATATATAGAGGAATATTTGTAACATATTAATTAATTTTTGTTATCCCGTGCATCACACGGGTTAATGACTAGTAACTATTTATATTTATAAGAATACATAATTTATAAATTACTAAATACTTTAAAATTACTAACTCCGCAATTTGTACTAACTGATTTCTAAGAGATAATAGTCCTAAATAGAACTAAACTAATCCCTAAATGCACAAATAGAACTACATCATTTATCTTTTTAAAATAGGACTAGGGTCTACCCTATCTTCCTATTATACCCATATAATTACTTATTAGGATAATTATATTTTAATTTGTATTAAATAAAGAAATAATAAAAATAATTTAACTTATACAAAATCATAAAAATATATAAAACAAATTTAAAATATTTTTTAAAAATACTAAACAAGAATTTTTTTTAAAAAAACATACAAAATAAATAAAATAGATAAAACACCTTCAAAAATATAAAAACAATATGGAGGCATTTCCCAATCTCGGCCACTGCCCAGCCATATTACCTCTAATCGGCTAAAAAATGCCATTTTGGACAAAAATGTTTTTTTTTTCTCTGAAAATTCCATGAAGATAACATTTTTAGTCATTAAAAATGTCAAAATTTTATCAAAAATTGTCATAACAAGATGACATTTCAGACACATATCGACATTTTTCCGGTGATCAGAGCTGGTTGTGCTCGGAGGTTGCTTAGGTGGCAGCATAGGCCTGCAATGTTTTTTACATTTTTTTAATTTTTTATCTACTTTTAATGTATTTTATTTAATATTTATTTCGTTTCTTTTGTTTTTTACATTTTATTATAAATAAACTTATGTTATTACTTTTACAATTTAACTATTAATTAAATATGGATTGTATTAAAAACTAAGCAAGGGTACAATTGGAAAGCAAGTCCTATTTACGGATTTTTTAAGTTTTGGTACTATTTTGGCAATTAAAGTTTAGTCCTATTTGAAGAATTCTCCCAATTCTCTAACTACTTAGAGATTTAATAAAAAAAACTATTTGGTTGATATGTATCTAATTATTGTACTTAATTATAGAAATAATAATTATTAACTATAATGATTTTTGGGACCTCTTTCATCCAAATAATCTAATAACTTATTATCTACTCTATTTTTTTAAAATTAAATAAATGTTAATATAAAAAAAATTGGAACCAGAAAATCGAACCAAAACCGAATCGAAACCGCCGGTTTTTGGAACAAGTATTGTGTGATTCCGGTTCCGGATTTCCAAAATTTGGAACCACAACAAGAAGTTCGATTACGATTCCGATTCGAACTGCGAACAGGTCTAGAAGATTCGTGCATCTACCCCCACAATGGCTTAGGCTAGGCAAAAGTGTGAAGATTTTGCTTGAAAATGAAGTTTCATGGTTCAATTTGGTTTTTATATTTCGCAAATGCTCCATATCTATAGAAAATTAGAGAGATCAGAGATATATAAGTCGTACATAATTGGTTATCTCAATGTTTATACATCACATTGTCTGTCTCCCCGCGTTTCTCACTTTATAAGTCTCACTACATGTCTCAACTTATATATTTCACCGTGTGTCTCACCTTATATATCTCATCGTGCGTCTCACCATATGTATCTCACCGTGCATCTAACCATACGTATCTCACCGCAAAATAGCCATAGAATAGCCATGAACAAGTCTGCTGATGATCATCACTACGTATATACTAATACTAATTTTTATTTTTATTTAGGAGGCCCCCTTACCAGGTGAGGCCCAAGGCAGCTGCCTGGCCCAACTGTCCCCAAACCCGCCCAGCTCACTGAGCGTCCCAACTTACGTATCTCACAACGCGTCCCACCATACGTATCTTGCCACACGTTCCACCATTTATATCTCACAGCGTGTCCTCTTTCATTTATACTATCCGCTCTATATCTTAACCACGCCGCGCCTGTATCTCTACGCGTGTCCCGCGGGTCTGACCCTATGTATTGCACTCACTACTATTTGCCTTATAAATGACAATACATGGACTATGGGAGTGATATTATAATCGTAAGCCCATTGTTTCTTGCATCTAATTGTTGTACAAACAATAAAAACAACAAATAAAGATTATTAATTAGTACTTCGTAATTTTTAGTCATTACTAGTTATAATACTTTAATGTTACAAATTACATTTATAAGAATACATAATCTACAAATTACTAAAGTACTTTAAACTTACTAACTCCTCAATTTGTAGTAGCTAAATCCTAAGAGATAATAGCTCTAATTAAGAATAAACCAATCCATAAATGCACAAATAAAATTTTGTTATTTGTCTTCCCAAAATAGGATTAAAGCCTACCCTATCTTCCTATTATACGCTTATCATAACTTATTAGTATAATCATATTTTAATTTGTAATAAATATAAAAATGATACAAAATAATTTATCTTGTACAAAAAATCATAAAAATATAAAATAAAATTAAATATATTTTAAAAATACTAAAATAATAAAAGTTAGAAAAATATTTTTAAAAAAAATTAAAAACTTTAAAAATAAATAAAAAAATAGATAAAACACATTAAAAAATATAAAAATATATGAAGGCATTTCCCACAGTCTCTCCCGCTGCCCAACGATGTTACCTCTAATCAACTAAAAAATGCCATTTTGTGTAAAAACTATCATTGTGTCTCTGAAAATGCCATGGAGATGACTTTTAGTCTTTTAAAATGTCAAAAATTTATAAAAAACTGCAATCATGATGACATTTCTTACACATATTGGCATTTTTTTCGGTGATCAGAGTTGGTGGTGATGTGAGGTTGCTTAGGTGGCAGCATAGGCTTGCATATTTTTTTATATTTTTTTTTCATTTTTATCTATTTTATTTTCATTTTTAATGTTTTTATTTTAAAATTTTTTAATTTCGGTTTTTTATTAATTTTATTTAATATTTATTTCGTGTTTTTTATTTTTTATTATAAATAAAGTTATGCTATTACTTTTATATTGTAATTATTAATGAAATATGAATTGTATTAAAAACAAAGCAATGGTCGAATTGGAAAGCTAGTTCTATACTTCTATTTAGGGAACTTTTAAGTTTTGACACTATTTTGACAATTAATGTTTTATTTAGTCCTATTTGGGGAATTCTCTCAATGTCTAACTACTTGGAGATTTATTAAACTATTTTGTTGATATGTATCTAATTATTGTACTTAGTTATAGAAATTATATTTATTAACTATATTAATGATTTTTAGGACATCTTTCATCCAAATAATCTTATTTGAAATATTATACCGGGCCAACCACTAACTAAGCCTACAAATTTTAGGCTGTGAGACCGCTCGAAATTCCATTATACTGGGCCAACCATTCAATAAGCCTACAAATAGAATTTTTTTTATTTGATTATTTTCCTTATTTTATGTTTAAATATTTCTATGTATATTGTGTGTGTGTAAAAAATTATAACTATAATTATATCATCACGGGTTGGGTCCAAAACGGGCCGGAGCTTAAAAATTCATATCCGACCCATTTTCTGTATCATGTAACGGGCTCGGATCCGGATCCGGGAAATGGTTCTAAATTTAGACACATACCCTCAAATAAAGTGCCGGATACGGATCGGGTCCGGGTCTAGACCCGACCCATTGACAGGCTTATATATATCACGGATTCTCAGTACGTGTCTCTCCTTATATATATTTCACCGCGAGTCTCACCTTATACTATGTATATCTCACCAAGTGTCCCACCATTTGTATCTTACCGCGTGTCCCACCATACGTATCTCAACACGCGATCCACCATACGGATTCTCAGTACGTGTCTCTCCTTATATATATTTCACCGCGAGTCTCACCTTATACTATGTATATCTCACCAAGTGTCCCACCATTTGTATCTTACCGCGTGTCCCACCATACGTATCTCAACACGCGATCCACCATACGTATCTCGTTGCACGTCCCACCACACGTATCTCGCCGCGTGTCCCATCGTACGTACCTCGCCGCACGTCCCACCATTCGCATCTCGCCGCACATCCCACCATTTAAAACTCACCGCGTGTTCTATTATATTTACGCCTGCCCGCTGCCCATCTTAACCACGCCGCGCACTGCATCTCTCCGCGTGTCCCGCGGGTCCCACCTCATTTACTGCTCTCACTGACATTTGACTTATAAATTTCACTACTGGGACTAAAGGGTGTTATAACCATTTCACTTCTCTTGATACATCGGAAACCATTTCTCTGGGGCTTAGAAAATAAAAATAGAGTAACGAAAAAAAATGGAGCTCTGTCTAAAGGAAAGCTAAGAGAGAAACAAAGCAGGAAACGAGAGGGAGCAGAGTTGGACTCCTTCCTCTTTCTCCCCCCTCAATTCCTCCTGGTTCGTCACTCCTCTCCTTCCTTTCCTTTTCTCTTTAGCTCCCATACTGGCATGCATTTATCCCCCACTTTTCTATCTGTTTTTTCTCAAAAATTAAGTAGTTTGTCGGGGAATTACCTCTGGAAGTAATGTTGTTTTAACTTTCTTTTGGCTGAAACAACATGGTTGAGCTCTTGCAGGAATTTAATGGAAACCTTACAATTCAATCAATTTACTGGCTGAACCATATAAATACCAGAGGGTGCCGAGTTTAGCTGATACTTTTATGATGGAATTCTAATTGGATTAATTTTAACATGGTTGAGCTCTTGCAGGAATTTAGTGGAAACCTTACAATTCGATCAGTTTTTTATTAATTCCGAAGAAATCTAATTTTGCAACAACTTTTAGCTGTATGGATGTGCTGTTTTTTTTTTCTTTTGGTGCAATTTCTTTATCTGAGCATGTGGATTTTCTTTTCTGCAGGAATCTATTTCTAATCTCCTTTTCTCCCTTCTGTCTACCATGGCGTCTGGGTAAGAATCACGAAATCCAATTTTATAAACTAAGAAAAGGTGAATGAATGACTGTTCTGGTGCAAGTAACTTGTTGCTTTTCACTGACTGTGTGACAAAATTGCATGGGAATCATAAGCATTTAAAGAGCTTCAGACTGGGTAGAGCCGACTAAATCACTAAATCAACATACAATGTACTTGAAATGATCTTTTAATGTAAATATTTTGCGATTTCCTACTTCAGAGGGTTCTGAGTTCGGAAACCCTTTTGGCTCTTCAGCAGATAGATAATTTCTTTTTCCAAAAAATTATAAATCAGAATGGCAATAAATGAGTTCTTTTTTTCAAAAAAGGAACATAATTTTACCAAAATTGGAACATAGTTTTTCCATTTACGTGGAGAGTATGCCAATAGACTTGGCGCCTATTGGTCGGGAACACTTTTCAATGAGAATTTCAATGAGTATGTCAGCATGCTGCTGAGTTAGCTGCACTGGCTGAGCAGGATGTAAGCATCTCTTACAAAAGAGTATCACATAAATGAGGTCTCTGCATTCTGCTCAGTGGCTTGTGCTCCTTATGGAGCACACCAGCATGCTCCTTGAAATTTCTCCACTTATCCGCGTCCCCAAAATCTTTTGGTAATAAGGCTTGGATGTTGTTGTATCCGCGTCAACGGGGTTACATGAGGTGCAAGAGAGATGTTTGTTTCATCTTAGTTTCAAACTAGCCACATCTTATTTTGTTGCAACCGTTTGGCTTTTACATTTTCCAACACAAGACTTTTACCATTAAATAAATAATCTCGTATTAGTAAAAAATTTAAAAATCATTTTTTGAAAGATTATGTTGAGACAATAAGCGGAGTAATATTTTTCATAATATGATTTTTTATTACATTAAAAAAAATTAAATGTAGTCAACGTAAAGTATGTAAATAGTGTAAAATTCAGTTATTTTAAGAATTGTTGAATAGTAGAACTTAATAAACATGTGCTTATGAAATTACAAGCCTAGTTTCTTGTTTTCCACTCTTCTGTTCACGTTTGAGAAAAGCTTTTTTCTTTCACCACCATGCCTTCTCGAGTTCTCGTGGTCTTTCCTAATGAGACTTGGACGAGATCTTGTAGGCATGCTCTTAAAACTTTGTTTCCAATTGAAGAGTGAAAGTTGCAGGGAATAGAAATATTTTTATAACTAAGAAATTAATGAGGCCTTAAAATTCATTAATTGTCAGTTGTCACGATTTTCTCTACAAATGAAATACCCATTGACCATATCCTTTTCTCGCTCTATGTTGTCATGGCTTTCAAACGGACCTCGTGATCCCATTTTGTTTCACTATGGTATGCCTTTTTAGCTCATTGAAGGAGGTACCCAGTTTTTATCTATGAGGGTGGATAAAGTGGGCTCACCTGTTAACTTCACATAGGTTAGAAGTTACTCTCAGAAATTTATGCTGTCTTAAAGGATACTTATAATTAATTAAAACAATTACAAACATCCCCCATGTGTCAGGCTGCCAGAGTGCCAGTATGGGCTCCCAGTGTATTAGTTGAAGACTGAATCTGTCAATTAGGAACTATGATGAATTTTTCATCTTTGGCATATGAATCTGTCAATTACGAACTTTAATACCTATTAACTTTTTCCAAAATTTCTGTGTGGGCCTTTGCTCTGCTCGCCTCTATGAAGATCCACCCAGGCTTGTGTAGAGTCTTGCTTCAACGGAAAGATCTTTATACGTTGTATTTGGCATCGTAGGATTGTAAAATTGCAACTTTAATATGTTTTGTGCATCTTCCTTTGGTTTTATTGGGTCATACACTACTATTTTCTGCAATTAATATTGCATAGCAAATGAAGCATTAATAACTTGTAGTTTCTTTTTAAAACATGTGCAAAATCCTCGAAAGTTTATCTTTTCCCTTTTCGGTTGATTGTTTGACCTTTACTCTTCTTTCTTTAGAAAGTTGCAACAAGAAGTTATCTGCCAATTGACAATGCTTCACGTATTCATGAAGTGTGTAGTGTTTTGGGTCGTAACTTTCTTGGATTCTTCTCTTCATGTCTTCACTTTTCCCACCTTGTGTGGATAAGTGTCCTTTACTAATTATGAGTTACTACCCGTGTCGTATTAAGTTTGGGACAAGGGACATGACATGAAGTATGGATGATCTTGAGCCACTAAATCTGGACAAATATAGTATCGGATGACATTATGGTGGGGTCAACAATGACATTCTTATCATTATTGTGTACTTAAATGTGTTGTTTTCCCAACCTAAGTCATGAAGTATCTTTGTCATCCTATACAATATAAAACATGGAAATGTATTTATCAGTATATTTTTCACTTAGAGCACAATAAGTAGGTTTTGAATGGGTATTGAAGTATAAGTGTTGCTATTTATTAAAAATAATTGCCTTCTGCAGCTATACATTGACCATCCTAATATTTCCAGGTTCGTCTAGTTTTTAAATTGGACGGAAAGAGCTTCAATTGGACAATCACTATAAAGGCGTCAAGTCGTGAATGGGGTCAGAGGAAGAAGATAAAACACCACCAAAATCTTCTAAACCTAAATCATCAGCTCAGGTGTTTTTTCATTTTGTTTGCTACTCCATATGTCCCAAAAAGGAGTGTGTGCTTTAAAAGTCTCCCCAAAATACTCGTATTTCATAATGGAGCTAATTTTATACTATATATGTAATTTGCCAAAAGAAAGTTACAATTTCAATATTATAAAATTAGTGGCAAAATAAGAGCCCATTTAGTATCTCACCGCGCATGCCACCATATGTATCTCACCGCGCGTCCCACCATATGTATCTCACCGCGCGCCCCACCATATGTATCTCGCCGTGTGTCCCACCATATGTATCTCGCTGCTCATCCCACCATACGTATCTCGCCGCGCATCCCACCATATGTATCTCACCGCATGTCCTATTTCATTTACGCCTGCCTGCTCTCTATCTCAACCTCGCCGCAGCCTGTATCTCTCCGCATGTCCCGCGAGTCCCACCCCATTTACTGCTCTCACTAACATATGCCTTATAAATTACACTATTGGGACTATGGGAGTGGTATTATAACCGTAAGCCCATTGTTTCTTGCATCTATTTCTCTTTTGCTTCTCTTGATACATCGGAAACGATTTCTCTCCGGCTTAGAATTAGAAATAAAATAACGAATAAAAATGGAGCACTGTCAAAAGCCAATTTAGTAAATAAACCAAACAAGTGGAAAAATAAGAGCCCATTTAGTAAAGTTTATGAGGCTGTATGGCGGCACTATGGCGTATATTTCGAATGGAAAAATGTTTGCTAAAATCCACTTCAACCAAATTAGTAAGTCAAGAGCTGCTTATTATGATTTTTCTGCTTATAAATGGGTCTCCAAGTAAGATTCCGTGACCTTAAGAGTTGTGCCTTGCTGTGTTATTTAAGTACCTCAAGTCCACAACCAAACATGCTATTTTGGTGGCGGAAGGATATATTTCCATTTCTAAGTGTATCTACACACACGATTTCGTGATTCTTATGATTAATAGTTATATCCGTTTCTTTCAATTTGCAGGAGACACCAGCTGTGTCTTTATATCCTGATTGGACAAGCTCTCCTCCGAGCACTCTTCTGGTTTGACAACGAGTAGTCCTATTGATGTTAAGCCAAGTCAATGGATTTAACTTTATAATTTTTTTTCACTTTTGTGTTTGTCTAGGCTTATTATGGCTCTGGTGCTACACCTCCCTTCTTTCCATCACCTGTTTCTTCTCATGCTCCTCATCCCTATATGTGGGGAGGCCAGGTATTTTTTGTCCATTCACATCATTATTTAATTGTTACTCCCTCCGTTTCATTTCAAGGTTCTCTGTGTGGTTTACGATGATTGACTGACGATAAAGCACACCGTTCCTTGATAATTTTTTATGATAAAAATTTACATATTAAAAAACTATGCAAGAAATTCTACTAAATCGCAAAAGATAAATTTGAAAATGATTAATAGTGTATGGGAATCTTGAAATATGAGTGGGGAGTACATATTAGATGCTTCGTATTACACATCACACTTTTTCAATGGCTTTAGATGGAGGGAGTAACACGTAATCTGCTTGTGTAATATTTACTTCTTTAGCATCCTCTACTGCCGCCTTATGGGAGTCCTGTTCCATATCCTGCTATGTATCCTCCCGGGGCCGTCTATACGCATCCAAATATGGCAATGGTAATCATGATTCTCTAATAGGGAGGAAAATTTTGGGGGGATTTTAGAGTGAAATAAAATTGTTAAATTATAAATTGCTTCAGACTCCTCTAATAAATTTGATTTTTTTTTCCAACTCTTTTTTTTATATATTTATTTTTATATAAAGACTAGGAAAAGTATATTTATGTCAAAATTCTGAACTGTAATCAAATTTGATTTTCATTCAAATTTTTAAGGTAAAAGCCAAACAGGAAAGGTTCTTTTTCGTAGTATTTATTTCTTTTCCCTTCAATTTTCTATGTTCATGGATATGTTTGGGTATCTGAAAATGCTAGGGAAATGAAACAAGTGCTCAAGAAAGTTATTTTATGATGTTTGGCTTTAGCTTTTGAAAATACAAAAGAAAATAAAGTATGTTCAATTATCTTTAAAGATTGCATGCATTTAATTCTCCTAGTTTGTATAGATAAAAATAAATCTCTAAATGCGTTTGAACAAATATCAAAATTAATTTATTGAGTTCGAGTCTATCTCTCCAATTATTTTTCCTTTCAGAATTCCATTTTATTTCCCTCCCTACTTTCTTTTCTGAGTATTTTCAATAGTCAAAATGGACACCAAAATACTAGAGCCTGTTTGATATGTTGAGTAAGGGAATGGGTTGTCTTTAGCTTGACATGATGTTTGTGTGTTCCATCTTTTTGATAGGATTCCTATTTTTCACTTTTTGGTAGGTCCCAAGTCAAATGCAGGAAAATGGAGACTCAGGTGCCAAAGCATCCAAAGGGAAAAGAAAAGCTTCTGGGAAAAAAACTAATAGAAAGTCCGGTAACAAGGCAGGAGACATCCCAAAAGAAGTTTCTGGCTCGGGATGTGATGATGGTACCACCCCAAGGTGTTTTGAAGTAGATTGGCATCAATCTTCCTTAAAATCTTTTTTTTGGTGCTTCTTTGGGTCCATTTTGATCCGCGGGAATATACTAGGGATTGATATTAAGACGGATAATATTGAGGAAAATTTGGAAGGAATGAAGATATAAGGGAAAATAAAAGATAATCTAAAACTAAGAGAAACATTTTATTTGTATATATTTAAATGTATAAAGACTGAAACTATAATGTATATAAAGATGAATATAAAGTAATAGTATTTCATTTTCCTTTGCTCCATAATCCATAGTAATTAAACATAAAAAATCAACTTTCCATGTCACTTGTTCCCTTTTCGTAGCATATTCAAGATCCAAACATACATTTCATTGATAATCATTTTGTACATGTTTATTCATGATTTGTTCTCCTTCACAGTAGTGGAGGTGATGGCTCTACTGAAGACCCCAGTGATGAGAACAATAACAATGTATGCTTCTGAAATCTCTTAATGCAGTTTATGTATTCCCTTCGTAGTTGTTGTCTGCTAAAATTATTTATTTTTCTATGTATTATTCTTTAGGAGTTATCTGCTTCAAAGAAAGGAAGCTTTGATCAGATGCTGGCTGATGGTAATTTTGTTTTTACCCATTTATATCATGATTCTTTTGTTGGTTTTCAATTTCCACTTGATAAGTTATTGCTGAATTAAACCATGTCATATCAATCAGGTGCCGCTCATGCACAGAACAGTGCTGTTGTTTCTGTTCCTGTAACTAATTTAAACATAGGAATGACTATGTGGAACCCTTCAGCGCCCCCTGGAGCCAACATAATGCAACCAAATCCCTCTATGCTCTCACCGGTTGTGGTTCCCACTCCTGTTATGGGGCATGAAGGAATGATTACAGGACATTGGATGCCGGTGAGTCTAATATAATAATAGCTGAGAATATTAACTTTGGGTACGTATGTACTGATAATGGCATGAAAACTTATTGAAGCCCCATGGATATGTGTTTCTAAAATTAGTAGGTGTTCTAAAAACATTAATGGGTGGAACTGTGGCAGACTGGTGCAGAGCACTGAGGTGGGGTCTTGTATAACATAGGTGGCAGATGGGAAACCTTGCGCCTAGGCGAGTCTAGGCAGCAAATTTAGAATAGTATCTATGCCTTGGGTCCATGGAATTGGTAGATAATACTAATATTTTAACTGCTCATTCTGCAGTATAGCATGTCACAGATAGCATGATAAATTTGGCTTAAAAAATCTCTTAGGAGTACGATATCAGTCAGAAATATAAGTTTATAAGATTAAGTTTGATTTTTTAATGGATTTACTGTTTTAGTATTTTTCCATGGGAACAACTTTTTTCCTGATTACTTTTCGTGGAAACAATCTTTCCCTAAAAAAAATACCTATGTGTATTTAAATTGGCATGCCAACTCTTTCATTGATACCATCTTACCAATGAGTGATTTTTATAGGCTTTGTTGTTAGCATCTCTTTCCGATGACTTCATGATATCTTGGCACGCTTTTTTAAAGTCTTATGTGTTTAATGTCCTATTTTACTTGTGCTATTAATAATTTTCTTTTTTCATATCATTATATAATGATTATGGGATCATGACCCTTTAACTTACAGGATGAACGTGAACTGAAAAGACAAAAGAGGAAACAGTCTAACAGGGAATCGGCTAGAAGATCAAGGTTGCGCAAACAGGTGTATTCCTTTCTCCAAATAATTTGTCTGAATTAACCTTTTTATTGTTCTACATACATATAAGCTTTTAGATAGTTTCCCATTGAGGTTTGCGGCTGCACATGTCTTTATGTGAACATCACATATTCCTACTATATTTAAAATAAACATGAATTAGCCATCTTAATTGTTCTGAAGTTTTGCGTTTTGTATGTTGCGAAGTAGTGTTTATGGGGGGGGGGGGTAGTTTTAGAGAACAGTGTTTAATGCCTATCACTTGTTCTCTTTTTTTGTGTCTTCTCTTGAGAACTGAAGGGATGTCTTTTAATGGGTTGTACAATGCGCTACATCTCTTGCAACAGTTATTAGTGTTTCTCCACCCGTGTCTTCGGCTTAGAATTGCTTTCGCCGTGCTTCTTTAAGCAAATTTTCTCCCCTAGGTATTTAGATCATGCTTTTTAAGAAAAATTCACCCCTAGGGGTGTATACCTCTCATGCATCTTGACAGTTCGACACCTTGTCTAGACAATGGGTTTTATCATCTTCCAGGTGACCCACACTATAATTTTGAATCCGGTGGTTATCTCTGGTTCTATATTACGGAGTATGACTTGAAATTAGTAGTCCAAGATTCACATGTTTATTTATTCATTTCATATTTAATGTATGTGGAACAAACGGTTGAACATAAACCAGTTCATCTTCTGACTGAACTTTGTGGTATGTTTTGTTTAACAGGCGGAATGTGAAGAACTGCAAAAAGCAGTTGGGACGCTGACCAACGATAACCGCTCTCTCCGGGATGAAGTGCAAAAGGTATCTGAAGAGCGTCTGAAGCTGAGAGCTGAGAATGAGTTTATAAAGGTTTGCATATTACTTCCTACCTTCTTTTAGCACTAATCCCGAAATTAAGAAGTTGATCGACTAACAATCTTCAACCCTGCTATTGTAACACAGGAAGAAGTAATGAAGAAGTTCGGTCCAGATGCTGTGCCCAAGTTTGTGTTCAATGAAACTATGGCGGCAGATATCTCAGCTAACCCAAACTAATATAAGATAATTAACTTGTCTGTAAGGTAAAGTGTTACAATTGGGGGGTGAGGTCCAAAGTCCTTGAGAAACTTGTCTGTTTAATTAGGAACAATTAGATTTTAGCAATGTTTGTTGTGGTATATGTCAAATGACCCCTGTCCAACATATATCAAAATGTGTTGATTTCGATCAGAGGCGTCTTAGGTTTATGTTGTAAAAGTAAACAAAATGCTATTGATCAAATTGATCAGTGTTCTCTTTTTTATTACAAATATAGAGTTTTTTCAGTACAACGCTGAAGTTAATAGTACATGCTACATACTGTACTGATTACTGATACTTCGGCGTACTCTACTGATAAGCAGAATAACCATGAAAGATTTATCCTGATAGTCTATGGGTTCTTCTCCGAAAAAATGGTAGCCTATGGGTAGGGATGGATTGGGACGGGCCTACCCGGGACCTGACCTGAGACCTGACCCGGGACAGTTGAGACCGGCCCGACCCAGTACCAGTACAAACCCGGGCTGGTACAGGGCCTATATCGGGCATGTACTGGGCATGTATTGGGCTGGTACTGGGCCCGTACTGGGCCGGTACCAGGCCTGAAATCCTTAAGCCCAAAGCCCACCCAATCCAGCCTGAAGCCCGACCCGGTCCCGTCCCAGTCCATCTCTACCTACGGGGTAGTTTGTTTGGATGTTTTAAGACTCTTTACTTCGTAGTTCATACAGACTCAGGGAGGGTCTTTCATAGTTTCACCTCACCAATTCACCAACCCGGACCCTATGTGCCAACCACTCAGCCCTAGTCAACATTAATAAAATATACTCCCTCCGTTTCGCAAAGGAAGTCACGATTTGACTTCTGTAAGATTAAAGAAATAAATTGACTTTACTGTAGAAAACACTGTTTAGACATTGTTTGGCACTGTTTAGACACTGTTTGGCACTGTTTAGACACTGTTTGACACTGTTTTGAAGTAGATTTTTTTGCCAAATAAGGAAATAAGGGAAGTGTGACTTTGTTTTTGAGACATACAAAAAAGAAAAGTGTGACTTTGTTTGCGAAACGGAAGGAGTATAATCATACATACATAATTATATGTGCGGTGTCAATTAAAAAAGTAACTATACTCATAATACCAATGTATCAAGTCCAACAAATACATACTCCGTAATATTCAAAAATATAATTTGTCCTATTTGGTTAAACATAATTTAATTTTGTGCCTCCATAAAAATAATTATCTTTCTAGAATGAATATATAAACATATCACATAATGTTTTATATGAAGCTGGTATTACAATTTTATTACATTAAAAATGCTTAAATAATAAAATGCAATATTTTTTGAAAAACATCAATAATCAAATTCTCCCAAGAGACAGGTTTTGCTGGTTCGGGTCTGGGCACAGTTTTCCGGGTTAGCCGGTTCTTCCGGTATGTAAGTATTTTGGTCCGGGTCAACCGGGCATTTTAAAACAGGCCTTTAGTGGGTAGAAAATAGAAATTGCTTGAACATTTCTAAAAAGAGATTTAGAAGTACATCCTAAAGAAAACATTTGATAGCTATTCCTTCTACCATTACTTCATTACAAAGTTCGAGTGTAAACTTTTGTGGTGTAAAGGGTAATATATATTATTCGTCCTTACAAATATTATGTTTATTTTGTGGTGTAACGGGTAATATATATTATTCGGCCTTACAAATATTATGTTTATTTTGGGTGTATATTTTTTTTGTCTCATAGTTTCTTTGATTTGTCTACTATATTGCAGACTTTTGAATAACCCGAGTTTAACAACAAAACGTATCAGTTTGTTTTCTTTTGAAAAGAAAATACTTATATAAAATACTAAACGAATCAAGAGTTACAAACTTACAATCAGTCAATATACAAAATCCATGTCCTATCTTTCAAAAAGTTCATTTAAACTTAAGAAACGCCCAGTGATAAGTGATAACACTCTGAGACGGTCACCTCAAAAAAAAAAGAACGTTTATAAATATCAAAGGAGTATAGAGAAGGAAACATTCCAGCTCAGCTGGTTGTCGACTCATTTTCTCATTCGAGCGTGTCCGAAATTTCATGGAGTATAGAGATTCATTTGAAGTTCCAAAATGAGAAGATATGTATGTAGAATTATAAAGATGTAGTCTTTATAAATCCTCAACATTTATTGCAGAGTTGGAATAGTCTAAATACAATCAAAGCATTCATTCTAAAACAATGCAAGAAAAGAATCAAGGTGCTTTCAACGTAAGAGAAAAATCAGCTAAATGCGAGTTAGAAAGTTTTTTGAAAAGAGATGTCAGATAGTTTGAGAATTAAACCGTAGTACTCACGGTTAAATGAGTTATCCGATTGTGAGTTAATTTCATAAAACACCCTTTTTAAGCCAAAGACTTGCTATTATAACTTTTGTCTTGAAAATGTGATAGAATAAAGTAAAATGCTTCACAAACTCTGTGGGCTTTTTTGTTATGATGCACTAGTCAATTCATACCATTTTCGACGTGATTTTCATCGTAGATCATTCAGAACAATTTATTTGTGCTTTAGTACAAGGGTAATAAGGTTACGTATATCAACCCCTCTTTAGTGTAGAAGCTTGAATTTGTATACTTGATTTTAACTTTGGATAATGAAAAGACAATTGACATATGAGCATAAACATGTAGCTTTATTATTTAGTCTAATTTTAATTTTCAAGACATTTTCTTTTTTGGGCAAAATAAATAATTAACATTGTATATAAATTAAAATAATTTAGTAGTGCATAGGTCCTCATTTATCTTTCCTTACTTCGGATGGAGATTCAAACATAGACTGTGTGATGGTTTGAAATCAACTTATTTCAAAAGAAAAATTATAATACCAATTTTATGATCAGGTTCTTTAAATGAAAAGAAATGTTACAGATTTATGATCGAGGAAAATTAAAAAACCACAATCCGTCCCATTTATATTGTCCCGTTTTACCTTTTCGGGAAGTCCCACTTAAATTGTCCCATACCATATTTGGCAAAGTTTGTGTGGCTCTAAATCATTCTTACTTTATTCTTACTTTATCAATTAATATCAACCACACAAACCCACTTTTCTTAATAACCGTGCCACCTTCTTCCGTCTCAATATAAATGGGACGGAGGTAGTAATAATTTCACTAGTATTTTTCTTCATTAGGCAAGAAAATTTTGAAGATCATCATAATTTTAGTAGAGTTTCTCCGATTGTGATCTTCTTTGCAGAAGGGAAGATCACCGCTTATATTATGTATTTTTTTTTCAATTCAGATAACACAAATATAACTGATAAAACAATTACATTATTTACCAATGTCTTCTTCAAAAACTTTGATATACAAGTTTTGGAGATAAACTACTCATGTGTTTGACATTATTTATAAATTTGGCATTGAAGAGGCTTGAAAGAAATCAAAGAATTGAAGGTGTAGGACATTAGCTAAAGGAACGAAGGACCAAAGCTATAACAAAATTAGGACTTGAAAGGATTCAGAGGTGGCTTCGTTAGAAGTAGGTAGTTTTAACTTGCTCATTTTATGAAGACTAAAATTCAAAAAATAAATTTTTCTATATTAAAAAAATCATATATTAAGATGACTAGGATGCCAACACGCACACATTCTAAAATTTGATTGAGGGTGTGCAGAGTAGAATTTTCTTAATGTAAAAGTAAAATCGTGAAAATAATTAATTTAACAAATTACAAGAGGGATGTAATATACTTTGTATACTTCACTGCATAATTATCATGATTATGATAATTAAGTCCTTCAAAGGAAACCTTAATTAGTAAATACAGAAAAACCTACCTAATAGTCTAACACCAGACATAAGCTACCATTACAGAGCCAAGTTAGGCGCTATAATCATCGCTTAATAGAGACCCTTACACTTGTTAGCTTTATTAGTCATCATTTCCATGCTGACGTGGCAACGAGGGCCCTATCATGCCAGCACAGCAACATCTCTGCGTGTCTCTTTGCCACGTGGAACCCTCCAATTTGCATCCTCTCAACCAGGCAATTAGCTTGAAAGTCAGAAAATTGACTCAAACCCACTTGCCGGAACCCCGCCGCCGCTAAAGCCTCCTTCCACGGCAGCCCATTGCTGCCGGCAGATCCTACCGTCGCCTCGATCTTGGGGACCACCACGAAATTCTCAACCTTTCCGACCAAATCTCCGCCGGCGTTCGCCGCCTCCAGTGACTCCAAAAGGCTCGAGTAAAACATCAGACCGTCGACCACTGTCTGCCGGAAGGAAGACGCCCCGCAACCCACCGTCCCCTCAAAATCAACGTTCACAACCAAGTGCGGCGAAATTAGACGGAGTTGGGCGGCAAAGGGCCCGACTTCGACCCGCCGGAATATCGCCGGAGTTAAAAGAACGAAGATTTTCTCGCCGTCCATGAACTTTACCGATTTGAAAGATAACAGTTCGAATGTACGGACCTCAACGAACTCTATAGCGAAGCCGATTTTGAGCTCCCGAGCAAACTGAGCCAAATTTTCCTTAATCAGATTCGACTCGGCGGCGTACTCATCAGGAACCAGAGCCGTGATACGAAGAGCCGGCGGCTTGGCGTGGACCGACTCGGCTTTGTCGGCTAGCTCCTTCATAAACGAAGCCCAGTGGCAGCCGAAGCCGATATCGAAGTCGACCGCGTGAACGATCACCGAGCCGTCAACGGCTTCGAGCATGGCTTGATTAGCCGTGAAGCTGGAAAACATAGGAACAGGGGAGACATTAGAGAAGATCTTATAAGCTTCAATTGTCTTCACCACATGAGATTCGCGAGCCGCTGAGCCGCCGGAGATCAGCTGGGACTGAAGAGCTTCCTTGAAGTAGAACGCGGCTCTGCGGAGCGGCTTACCGGCTGCGGAGAACAGCTTCTGATTGAGCTGCGCCAGGAGCATCTGCGCCGGCTGGATTGCGCCGGCGTCGAAACAATCGGCTAACTGAATCAGCTCGTCCAAATAATCAAACTCGAAACCCGAGTACCCTTCATCCAAGAAACTAACATTACAGTCATCGGAGATGGTGGGGTCAGCGGCCGTGGGCGGGAGGAGATGAGCGGAATCCGGCGAGTGAGAGAGCTGGGAGTCGTATGGGGAGTAAAACAGAGGATTGTTACTGATAGCCAGAGGAACTTTTCTGTCTCCGTCGTCTTGCAAACCCAACTCTTTGATGAAAGAGTCCCACTCCTCGGAGTTGGTCATCAGGAACTGATCGGCGGCTAGCTCGATGGGATCGTCGGCGAGGGACCGGAGCTCGAGAACCGAGTTCGGCTCGTACCACAAGCTATTAAGCCCATCGGGGGTGGCGGCGGGAACCGGCAATTTCATCTATCTCTCAGGTCCTCCGGATATATATCTATACCTCTGATTAAGGAGATTGAGCTAATTAGGGAGAGAGATGATCAATTCAACAAGCTAAGATCTTAATAACCCCTATACATATGTATATAGTCACCACGTACTATTGATAGAAAAGGAAGAAGGAGAGTTTGAAGGGGAGGTGAGATTTAAGCAAGGCTTTTTAGCTTAGCGTATGGAATGAATTGCATGGAATGGAAGGGAGGGATTATGAATTGCATTAGGGGTATGAGTATATGAGAATGAGATGAGGGGAGACTTATGATGTAGGGTATATATGATGGCACGAGTGATATCAGAAAGATTGGTGGGGGATATGATTGATGGATTAACTTTTAGTGTATCTATTCAGCTTTACAGGAGCTACATAGGAAGTGTCTTCCCGAAGGCAAGCTCCATTTATATACCCACTTCTATACCTATCTTATACCCACCATGTTTGTGGAAGTTTTTTTTTGTCTGTGAACCCGGGTTCACGGACAATATTTTGTCTGTGCAAAATATTGTCTGTGAGTCGGGGTTCACAGACAAAAAAACACTTCACAAACATCGGTGTGTACAAAAGTGGGTATAAGAGTGGATACAAAGATCATTTTTGATTTATATATGTATATTCTCTTCTTCTACCCCTCCTAATTTTGCCAAACTTTTGGTTCTAGTTTTCTCAAAAACAAAAAGTGACTTATCTTATTATTTACGGTTTCAAGCATACAATTTTTACTTTATTGTTTTACGTGCCGCTCAAATTTAGTAAGTTGGCTCCATTGTTAAAACTCTAGATTCCATCCTAAAAGATCAACCTCATAGGAGGAGTAGCCTTTAAGCTTTATATAATACTACCTCTGTCCCATCTTATGTGTCTCCTTTGCTTTTGGCACATTTTTAATAAAGTGGTTGAAAAGATAAAAGTTATGGTTGAGATTTGAATATAACAAAGTGAAATTTTGTGAACCACATATTTCTTTCCAAAAAGGAAAAGGAGAAACTTATTTTGGGACAAACCAAAAAGAAAAGTAAGACAGGTAAAATGGGACCGAGGGAGTATTTTATTGTTTTATAGTTTTCCGGTGTGAGACAAATACTTTAACACACTCCCTCAGCCCGAACCGGATAAGACAATATCGAGATGTATAAATGGGCCAAACAGACCCTTAATAAGCTACCATTAATCATGTGTGATAAACAAGCAGTCAAACCACAATCGAAATTGGCTCTGATACCATGTTAAAGCTCGAGGTTTCAACTTGAAAGGTCAACCTCATAGGAAGAATGTCCTTAAGTCTTATACTCCCTCTGTCCCTAATAATTTTGCCAAGTTTGACCGGCACTGGAATTAATAAAGTAAAAACTGTGTGGTTGAGATTTGTGCAGAGGAGAGAGATTTAACTGGAACCACAGATTCTTTACTTAAACGAGAAAGTGACAAAGTTAATGGGATATCCAAAAAAGGAAAGTTGGCAAAGTTATAAGGGACGAATGGAATATAATATTGTACTCTCTCCATCCCAAAATGATGGTCCCGTATTTCGGATGTCCCAAAATTATGGTCCTATTTCCTTTTTTGAAAAGAAAGATGTGGTCCTCATCATTTTACTTTTTTCTACTATCACATCCACAATTTTTACCTTTTCAACTACTTCATTAAAATTTGCGCCCAAAAGAAATGATAACATCTTTAATTTAATTCAATTTTATCATATCTGGATGGGGTATTATTTTGTAGTTTTCCGGTATAAGACAAATATTTTTAACATCTTTAATTTAATCATAAACTACTCTGGAAGATCGTGGGTGGTGGGTCTCACACCGAGGTCATTGGCAGTGGATGTTTTATAGGGAGTATGAATGTATATATATCCAATCCAATGTGGGTATAAAATAGTCAGGCACTTGTTCATAATGTTTCTGTTCCACTAAATTACTCCTTGATGTTATTTGGTGCATGCCAATAACTCTAATTTAATACATACATATTTGTACGTAAGATTTTGAAATTCATATGTTTTTTTATAAAATCCAAATAGTTTTTATTACTGTGCTCATTATGATGGTGATCTCTTAATCTGGATTGGAGTAAATGTGTACTACGTATTTCATACGTAGTAATTCTCAATTTTTTCATCAAAGAAAAGTTTCATCATTCCAAAAATATTATTTTAATTTCTTATGCAAGCTTATATAATCATACTCGCATATTATTGATATGTTGTTAAAATCTTAGGGAGTTAGGGTCAAGGATTCTTGGGGATATTTTGTGCTCGTAACAGTTATTCAAATTCATTGAACTTCCAAATTCTTTGTTTGATTAGGCCGCGGATGTATTCATCTTCAAATTTTCAAATTTAGTTTGGAAAATTCATTCATATTATTCCAAACCTGAAAACCCAATTAATTAATTTTAAGCGAAGATTTAAGAGAAATAATACTCCCTCTATCCCAGGGAGAAGTTCTCGGGTTGACTTTCACACATATTTAGGAAATAAAGTCACTGAGGGGTAAATTTTATTGTTTGGCACTGTTTCGACACTGTTTTGCACTGTTTGACACTGTTTTGATGTAGGATAACTTTCCATTTAGGGAAATGGGAACTACTACTCCCTCCGTCCCAGGGACAAGTTCCCAATTTCCTTTTTTGGCAGCCCCAACAAAAAGTTCCCATTTCCCTAAATGGAAAGTTATCCTACATCAAAACAGTGTCAAACAGTGCAAAACAGTGCAAAACACAGTGTCGAAACAGTGCCAAACAGTGTCGAAACAGTGCCAAACAGTAAAATTTACCCCCCAGTAACTTTATTTCCTTAATATGTGTGAAAGTCAACCCGGGAACTTCTCCCTAGGACGGAGGGAGTAGTAAATAAGTGAATACTACAATACACATAAAAGAAATTAGGGTACCGTACCCATTTCGCATTTGATTGGACCAAATAATCATTATTTCATCATTATATTAATTCATATTTAAGTTATTTAACTATATTATAATATTCTTATTGGTTTATGTGGACATGATATACTCCCTCCGTCCCCCTAAGTTTGGGACGGAGGGGTGTTGTGTGGTTTTTAAGAAAAAGTGGAATTGTGTGGTTGGTATTGAATTGATAAAGTGTAAATAAAGTAAGAATGAATTCTAACCACTCAAATGTTACCAAATATGGTATGGGACAAACTTAGTGGGACGGACGAAAAAGGTAAAACGGGACAAACTTAGGGGGACGGAGGGAGTAATACTTTTAGATACATAATATAGAATTTGCGAGTAAATAATCTACGTACACTAAGTCACTAAAAGCCTTTGATAAAAAAATCACTAAAAGTCAGTATAATGTGTTCTTAATATTATAGAAATATCTTGGAAATCTTTCATTGTTACTCATGATGTAATAGACAATGTTAAGTGAGTAATGACTTTATTGTCTCATATACACCGTCCATGATGAATTAGATTTACAACGTAACACCGTCCATAATGACACCCAAATAAAAGCCATTATATATGCTTCGCGTTCTCTGTTTAATTTACTTAGGTACCACATTATTATACCACTAGTTAGGCACTAGCTAGGCTTTGGACAAAAGTTGATAAAGGTATGTTACAAGTTAATTTGACTTCGTTCGCACCATATCATAGTGTATTTTTTAATCCAATTCTTAACCCTTACTCTTTCAACAGGATTTTGAGTGAAAAGCCTTTAATTTAGAGCAAAAGGAAAAAAGTAAGGAAGTTCGAAAGAGAAATTAAAATATAAAAGGGGATGTCTATGCCTTTGTTACATCAAAATTGAAAATAGGACTTGTAATAATAAAATGATAATTTTCCATTTTTCCGAAATATTATCGAAATTAAAACCAACGGACAACAAGCAATATGGATGTAGGATTACTATGAGTCTATTTAATGATTCTGATTTTTGTCTTATGAGTAAACTTTTTCAATATAAATATGTAATTTTTTATTTCGCATGATGAGTTATGTTATAGTCAAAATAAGTGAGGTTGAAGTTATTTTCTGACTGGATTGACTGAAGTTACTGTAGATTATCATCTCAACTATTTTTTTTCATACAATTTTTTTTGTTTTATTAATAAAATATATTTTGAATAAGCCAATTCAGTCTCTTTAGTCAGATTTTCATTAATTTCAAACTAACTGATTGAACCAATTTGAGTGTTCCTCATGAAAATATGATCATGTCACTACAGATTAAATTTGAATATCACCTTGAAGTGATTAACATACATTATTATTATTGCTGTAGAAGACATACATTTATCCATTTCTTATTTAAATCATATGTTAATCATTATTAACAATAAAATTTGATAAAGAGATAGATAACGGAGTAATTGATAAAGTAAAGTGAGCATGTACTACGTATTAATTTAATTACTACTATGATGAAATACAGTTTAAAATTATTTTTATAATGTATTTTCCGAATCTCAATTTCGTCTGCATAAAAGTTGAGCCTTTTTTATATAACAAAAAGTAGAACAAAAGTGTGAAGTAATGCATAAAGAACAGGGAAAGCAAGTCAGCCGCTATGGTGCTTAGCGAAAAAAGTGAAGAAATGATAATAATAATAATTATTATATGTCTGTCCTCTAAGTTCTTGTGTTTTGAGGAAAAAGCTAAATAAGCTTTTAGAACTGTTTTAACTTTGTCGAAGACGTTGAAAGTTTAGAGAAAAATGGAGTAAAAAGGTGGGTGCTAATGTGGAATAAACATGCGACGAAGATCAATTATTATAACAGTAGTTATACACTTCCATACATCTAATATAAGTTAGAAATAATTACATATTTATAATTAAAATAAACTTATTTATAAAAATGAGACATTGCATCTTAAATGTAGTGATTATAGTAATAATTTTAATAATGGTAATTCATGTTCAATTTTTACATCATGTTACTTTTAGTCATATTTTTATAAATAAATTTAATTTCAATATATAATACGGAGTATTTTTGAAATTCCCATCATTTGCAATGGAGCCAAATACTAACTATGTTTTGGCTTGGAAATATGATGAAATAAAACAAAATGGTTCACTAAATTGTATGTCATTCTTTGTTATAAAGTAGCAATCAATTCATGCAATTTTCAACGCGATTTTCATTATGGATTATCCGGAAACAGTCTCTCTATCCTTTATACACAGGTAAGGTTGCGTACATCTGACTCCCCGGGCTTACGGTTATAATACCACTTCAGTGGGAGTCTTTGTGGCACTAAAGTGATGATGATGATGATATAATATTTTTGAAAAATCATCACATATAGAGCTGTCAAACGGGTCAACCCGACCCGGCCTGTGACGGGTTATGCTTTATGTGGGTTGGGTCGGACCAACCCGTTTAATGACGGGTCGGAATTTCTACAACCCTAACCCAACCCGCCTAACCCACAGGCTAAACGGCTTGGCCCGCGGGCCGTTGCAAAAAATATATATGAAAAAAATATTCTTTAAAAATAATTACCCTTGAGTATATATATTTATATTAATAAGTAGTAGTAAATGAAATATAAAAAAATCAAAATAGTAAGAACTCAATACTTGTTATGTTTAATTAAAAAAATATGTAGTACTATGTACTCCCTCCGTTTCAAAATAAACCTCACAGTCAAACTTTTTGGGTCAAACTTGTTAAACTTTGATAATATTTTATCAAAATTAATAATATTTTACTCAAAATTAATAATATTTTATCCCAAAAAAATTATATAATGTGCTTCATTGTAATATGTATTTTTCAAATGTCAATTTATTATAGATTTTATATGCATATATTAATAGGAAATTACGGTCAAACGTCCGCCTAGGAGACCGCAAAAGTCAAACTGTGAGGTTTATTTTGAACCGGAGGGAGTATTAAATAATACTCCGTACTAGTTATGTATACTAGAATTTGAAAACTAGCTATTAGAGTGCATGTAGATAAAATACCCATTGTATACAAGTAAATATGCACTTAAACTTTTTGAGTGATTATTTGTAAATGATGTCTACTAATTATTAAATAATATATCAAACTTTACATAAAATAAACTCCGTATGTTTCAACAATTTATTTGAATATCTATTATAGAAATAATAATCATTTTACAATGGTTGTAATTTTTTAATTGTAATTATAATAATTTTGATAGTAAAAGAACAATATTTAAAATAAAAAAATAAAAATATATGTTTGTATATTGGTCCGCGGGCCAACCCGCAACCCGCATGGGTTGACCCGCGAAACCCGCGAACTAAATGGGTCATAAAATCACAACCATAACCCACCAATAAATGGGTTTAAACGGGTGAGCCCGCGGGTTTCAACCCATTTTGACGGCTCTAATCACATATATAGGTACATGGTATAACTGTATAAGGTTGCATCACAATCTTTGAAATTATTAACATATGATCTACTATGATCTATATCCCAAGTTACACAAATAGTAGGAGAAAATATAATTTATTTTAGAACATATAAATACAAAAGTTAGAACTTCAAACTTTATTTTAAAACAAATAAATACAACAGTAGTAAATTTGAAATAAATGTATATATGTAAATGCTCTAACTGCTTAATTAATACGGAGTATATTTAAATCGTATGTTTTTAAAAACATACTCCGCATAAGATAAAGATTTGGGTTTATTAGTAGCAATTGTTGTATTTGGTGAGCTGTATAAAAAAATCATCCAAACAAATATCCCTTTGTCCTTATATAAAAGGCATACTTTGACTGACACACATCCTTAGAACGAATACTGTTTGACACTGTTTGGACACTGTTTTGCATTATTTTATTTGTCAAAAGGAAAAATGTGTCTTTTATATAGGGACAACCTAAAAAGGAAAGTGTGCCTTTTATTTAGGGTCGGAGTGAGTATTTATTATAACTGTTTATAGGATTTTTTACCTAAATAAAGGTTTTATCAAAATTGATGTAAATCAGGGAACAAAAGTTGACCCTTTATGCCTATAGGCATTCGGTAATTGGAAGACGGCTATGATAGCTTGCAATTTATTTTGTAATTCATTATTGGAAATGTAAATGTACAAATTAGGACATGTAAAAATTGTATAGAATTATAGAAATTCATATACACTACCAGAAAAGTGCGAAATTGGCACGACATTTGGCACGGCAGCTTTCAGATTTTTGCCCTGCCTATGGGTTTTGGCACGACATTGGCACAAACATCCAAGCCGTGCCACTTGGGGCCTTCCAAATCAAATGGCACGCGGTCTATATGCCGTGCCAAATTTAGGGACGACATGTGGCACAAAACCAACGCAGCCAAAATTTAACAGATTCACTTAATTTTTCTGTCAAAAGTTGGCACGGCGCGACTTGTGCCAAATATCGTATAGAAATTTGAATTTTGGCACGGCGGTTCAATTCTTGACCCAAAATTCATATAGAAATTTGAATTTTGGCACGGGGCGATTGTGCCAACTGTATTTCCTCATTTGAAAGGTTTTGAATGTTGCACGCCGTGGTTGTGCCAAACCTTTTACGTTGAAGTGGATTTTTGAATATTGGCACGAATGTGTTGTGCCAAATACGTGCTCTCAGATAAACGGTTTTGAACATAGGCACCAACAAGCCGTGCCAATGTAAAATTAAATAAATAAAAAACATGCCCATATATTTATATAGATATAGACGTATATCTCTATAAATATATGGGCCAATTTGGGCCATTTTTTTTTTGTAGCAAAAACATTACTCCAAACAAATAAAAACATCATTCTAAACAAAAAATAGTAAGCAACTACAACAACTGCATAAACATTAAACAAGCACAAATCAACATCGAACACTAATTTCCATCTAAAACTACCCAACAAATCCATCAAGAATTGCAAAATTAAGTATTTGGGAGGAAGGTATTAACATTACAGGGAGGGAGGTATTAACGTTATAGACCATTGGCGGAGGGGGGGGGGGGAGAAAGTCTTCAACGAAAAAGTCATCATCATCCATTGAACAAGGTTGAGTCGGGGCCGGTTGCGTCGAGCCGGCACGTTGAGTCGGGGTTGGCTGCATTGGATATTTTAAATAGTTTAAAGCAAATAATAAACAATTCAATAATATTTGGGTTAAATGGCTACATAGCTTAAATAAGTATAAGAAGACAAATTAATAGCCTATATTATTCTTTTTTAAGTGCATAACACTTTTGTAGTTAAAAGGAAACCACATGATTATGGTTAACATAGGCAACCGTTGGTTTTTATCCCCTTAATTATGTAAGTTATGCTATTTGTTTTATTTATTCAAATAGATGACATAAATTTAACTACACTTCTTTAATGTTGTATATACACTCAATTGTTCCATAATATTTTAATGTTTGATATTATAAAACTGTGTAATGCATATTTACATTTTAATAAACTATTCAATAACATATTAATGCAAAGTATTCAATAGTTTATCCGAAATAGCTTAATGTGAAATAATCAACAGTCAAATAAACATTTTGATGTTTAATAATATTAATAATATAGTATAAGATAAATTGTTCAATATCATGTTGATGTGAAATATTTAATAGTTTAATCCGAAATAATATTTACATAAAGTATACAAAAGTTTAAGAATTTATTGCGAAATAAAGATGTAACATTAAATATTTTCATGTTAAGCAATACAAAACATATAGAATAAAATAAACTATTTAATGCGAAATATTAACACATACAAACAAATTCGGCAGGTGAAAAAAATAAAATATAGCATAAAATATTTGGCATATATGTCATAAAATCTCTTTTATTTTCAGAAAAATCAAATTTTAGCAATATTTTAAACAAAAAAAAGGTCCAACCCTTTGAATCCAAAAGACACACCGTTTAGGTTACTAACCAAACCATATCATTTGGTGTATAATCAACGGGTTGTTCACGTTAGGCACTGCTGCATCACGGGAAATGGAATATTCGTCGCCATTACGGGATATGGAACCTTTGGCATCTCTTCTTCTGTTCGGGGAGGTAACGTCTAGAGATGGCCGCCGATTGAAAACACCTTGTGTTGAATGCAAGCCGGTCGAGGTCCTAGGTGATTCTTCATGACGAGACCGGCTCTGCGAAGTTCGACCTCTTCCACGGCCTCTTCCGAGATCGGAGCTGTTACTTCCACCACTGTTTGCCATACTACACATAAACCATGAACAAGAAAGTCAATTTATAAAAATATATAAGATGAGAACAAAAAATACAACAACAAGATATATACATGACCTGATGACGGATTTTGGTTGCCGGGGTTCGAGGATGCCAGAGTATGTAGGTCGCCGGCGGACAGTAGGTGTGAAAGGGAGAAGGGGCGGCGTTTAGGGTTTGAGAGGGGATTTCAATGAAAATGAGAAATTGTGTCCAAGAGTTGGTTTTATATCATTCTCATTTGGCACAGCTAATCCGTGCCAAAATTATTAAAATGTATGTGCAGCCCAAAGTATTGGCACGGAAGAGACGTACCAACACGTGTTCGAGATTCTTCTAAACTATTAGGACACACTTGGCACAGATGCGCCGTGCCAATATCAACAATCACATTTTAATTTGCACAAGTGCCAAAAAATTTCTCTGCGACGCGGCAGAAGTGTCAGCCTGACACCATTTGGGACAAATCTGGCACAACTTAGCCGTGCCAACTTCGACGCTCGGTTTAGTATTGTTACAGATTTGGCACGCCACCGCCATGCCAAAGTCGAAATGTTAAAGATGTCGAACTGTCCAATTTAATTAAATTGGGCTTTTCCCCCAATTTAAAAGAAAAAAAATATGATTAATTATAATTTTTTTTTTAAATGAAGTGACATATTAAGTGACCAGTTCTCAGTGACTCATTATCTAGCAGTGACTTATCACTCTGAAATGCACTATATAAACTTTTAAAATAATGGCTCATTTTTTATATAGCCTAGACTAATTATCATCTAGCATATGTTGTATTTTAAATGCTTTTTCATGTCTCGCATCGGATATACCCAAGTGCACCTAAAGAGAACAATTGTCAATTCTCTTTGACCAGACAATTTTTAATTCCAGAATTTCATCCAGCACTCCAAAAATTTGTCTCTGAGTTTCGTAGAATGGTGTAATCTCGGGCAATTCATTAATATGCATGTGTGTGCAGTGTTACTCGGAACTCATCTCCAGTAATATATATGACGATGTGTTTCTTGCTCATGACTTTTGACGAGTTCAAACAAAGACTACATATTGAAATGTAAATAATTGAATGGACTAATAAAATCTAAATTTATAAAGTCATTACTAAGATCTTAGCATCTCGTCTAGGTCCTTTCCTTCCTAGCATTGTTCACCCCTCAGAGAGAGCTTTTGTTGATGGAAGATTGATGGCTGGCAACATCTTCCTTGCACAAGAGTCAGTGAAGGGATATACTAGGAAAAGGGTTATTTCTAGATGTATGATCAATGTTGATTTTAGGAAAGCATATGATACGGTTTCATGGGAGTTTTTGGAAAAGGTTCTTAGAGGGATACATATCCCTACTCTATTTGTCAATTGGATAACGGAGTGTGTCACTGCCTCTTCTTTCTCAATTTCTATTAATGGTGTTCTCTATGAATGGTTTGAAGGAAAGAGAGGGTTAAGACATGGGGATCATATGTCTCATATGCTTTTTGTGTTGTGTTTGGAGTAATTCTCTCAGATGTTAGTGCTTAAGACCTCAAATCCTAACTTTAACTACTATCCTATATGCTCCTAACGAAACAAGACATTACATGATTTTCGCATGGTATCCGGTTTGATGGTTAACCATAAAATCTAACATCTTTTCGGGGGGAAATGTGGCTCATGCATTACCTCATATTCTAGAATTGGTATACTTTCAACAAGGGTCTTTCCCTTTAAAGATTTTTATGACCCAATTCTCACCTTTGTTATATACGATCACACACTATATTAATGCTTGGAATTCTATATTCCTTTCTTGTCCAGGGAAACTTGAGTTACTTAGGTATATCATGCAAGGTGTGCAATCATTTTGGTTGGGAATTTTCCTGGTTCCTAGAACCATTCTTGACAGAATAGTGGACTTACGTCGTACGTATCTTCCTTTGGGGGGATATGCAAGGTTTCTTGGGAGGATGTTTGCTTACCAAAGGAAACATAGGTGGGTGGGTAGGCATAAAAGATACAAAAGTTGTGGAACAATGCTCTCCTCTCCTGTACATTGCAAACAAGATACTCTTTAGGTTAGATGGGTACATGGGGTCTACCTCCATGGGAGGGATGTGTGGACCTTTGTTCCACATAATATGGATTCCATATTGATGAAACATTTTGCTTTGATTCGAGACTCAATAGTCTCAAATTTTTCATTTTTGAATATAGCTTTAGACTTCCTTGGGAAGAGTTCCTTTAATGGGAAACTCTCTTCGACTGAAATCTATGACTTATTGAGGATCAAAGTCACACCACGTGTATGGATGTCTTTTATTTGGAAACCGTACATGCCCTCAGAGTTCTCATTCACTATGTGGCTTGCCTTGAGAAATAGGCTAGCTACATATGATAACTTGGGGTTTCTTAACTTAATTAATATATGTCCTTTTTGTAAGGGTGGTCCGAAGAAGGTACCACACCTATATTTTGGTTATGTTGTTACAGTTCAGGTTTGGAGGATGGTCAGACAATGGCTAAGGCTTACAAAACAAAAGATAACGCTAAGGAGTGCGGTCAAGTGGACTAAATTAAAGAGGAACACAATGGAGCAAACATCAAAGCTAAATCCATAAGGATATCTCTTTGCTATACGGTCTATTGGATTTGGTGAACTCGTAATGCTATCCATTTTGATGGAGTCACGACTAAGATGGAAGACATTTTGGCACAAATTAAGTACATTATGTATGTGTCTATTCTATATACACATACCATATTATGATTAATTTTTTAAACTTATTGACGCTGATTCATCACCTATTTTTTGTGATGGGTTGCATAGATCAGTAGATATATCTCGATTTTTGAGGTGATAGGGCATCCTAGCTTGGGATAGTCTATACTTTTTTTGTTCATATGATGTACATAACACCGTTGGATGATTCTATACATATTTACACTTCATCCAAAAAAAAACAATGAAGAAAAGTTGAGGGTGAGTACAAAACTGAAAATGGATAGGTATTTATAAATAATGTTAGGCACGGACTTGGCACAGAGCTAACCTACCATTCCAACGGCTATATAATTGGCACGACATTTGGCACGCTAACGGCATGAGTACCATTTTAGCACGGCATTAGGCACAACATTTGGCACGCCTACGACCACGGTAACATTTTGGCACAGAAAGTGGCACGACCATGGCATGGTTATGGTAACATTAATATTTGGGCCCGAACTTATGCACAGATTTGGCACGGACTTAGGCACGCCCGTGTGACGGCTTTCTAACAGTAACATTTTGGCATGCATATGGGACAACACGTGCAAGACAACATTTGGGGAGCATGCTTCGGCACGGCCGTGCCGTGCCAAGGCTATAACGGAACCGATACCAGTTTTCACAGCCGTTTATTTCGGACGGAATTTGGCACGGAGATTGATATGCCACCGTTTGGCACGGGCTTATCGTGCCCAATGTAGAGTCAGCTACTCACCCCATGATTTTTTGGGTAAAGTTGTGCCTATTGTCGTGCCAAACGTGGCACGCACGCCTGACGTGCCAATACGCCGTGCCAAAATCGCACTTTTCTGGTAGTGATAATCATATTAAAAGTATAAAAACATACGTACAATCTTATGCTCCATATTAAATTTGAGTTGTATATGTTTTAATTGCTATTTCAAATCAGTCCTTTATATTAACAGACATGAGATTCGATCGTGAGTCGGTGCATGTTAGGTTACTGCATGATCTGATCGTCAAAGATTATAATCTTAGCTTCTTTTTCTTTTTCCTCGTCAGGGTAAAAATCCACGTACGCAGAAATAAGAATATAAAAGAAAATACGGAATACTAGCTAGGCAAAATTAAAAATAACGGTAAAGGAGAGTGGAAAGGAGGCTGACTTTGATGTCGTCTAGCTTAATGACTAGGTTAGCTATTCAATGAAGAAAAGAATATATTCCATCTTCTGCGGCGGCGGGCGAGTGGTACGTCCAAACTCCAAAGGGTGGCGCACTTAAATATATATCGGACCTGAACTCCGTTGATGTGATGAAAGAGTTACTCCCGACATCTCCATTAAAATTTTGTCAAGTTTGATCGGGAATGATGAATTCAAAAGTGTGCGATTGAGGTTTGTGTAATACTATCTCCGTCCCGGTAAGATGTTCCTAGTTTGACTTACACAATATTAAGGAAATAAACTTGTCAAGAGGTAAAATTTACTGTTTTGACACTATTTCGACACTGTTTGACACTGTTTTGCACTGTTTGGCTCTGTTTTGATCTAGGATAACTTTTCATTTACGGGAAAGAGAAATTTCTTTTTGAGACTGCTAAAAAGGAAAACAAGAACTTCTTAAGGGGACGAAGGAAGTACGTGAAAGAGAAATGATATAAATCACAATTCACAAATCAAATGATAGAAAGTGATAAAATATAGGAAAAATTGACAAGAATAATCCCACCTTTCAGTGGTCTTCTCATAATAATCCCACCTTTACATAATCCTAGAATAATCCCACCTTTGCACACCATCTTCTTTCATTGGACCCTGACCAAGTTTTTTTACTCTTTTTTTGAAAATCAAAGAGGATGTTTTTTGTTAATTACCAGTAGAAAGCCTTGTTTTTTTTATTAGTACCGGGATTAATATTCAACTTGTCAATTACCAGTAGAAAGCCTTGTTTTTTTTATTAGTACATGACCTTATGTGACGATTTCATAATAGTAGAAAGCCTTATTTGACCATAGGCATAAAGGGTCAATTTTTGCCTAGGCATTCGGTAATACTTCGTTGACCCTTTATGCCTATAGGCATTCGGTAATGCCTTATTTGACCATAGGCATAAAGTTGACCCTTTATGCCTATAGGACATACTTCGTATTAAAAAGGAAAGAAAAATGGTAAAGTCTTAAAGAATGAAGGGAGTATGCTTTTTTTTTGTAACCGGACTCCTTTCAATTAAATACCATACCGGATTACAACACACTCCACTTTTAATAGATCTTATCAAATGAAATCAGATCAGACACAGACAGTAGTATTACATAAAATATACAATTACATCTCTGTTTAATAATTTTGTCAATTTTTCTTTTCTGATTGTCC